GTCTCTATATGTCGTTCGTTGAAATGTGCCTACCTCTACCAGTGAAGATAATCATGTATGCGGACGATATCGTCATTTATTGTTCACATTCTTCAGTTAGGTATGTAGCCCATCAACTCAATATTGCGCTAAAAAACCTAAGCGCACACTTATCTGACCTGGGACTTAGACTGTCTCCAGAAAAGTCAGTCGCCACCTTTTACTCTCTTAATACTTTAAAAAATATGAAGTGGCAAATCCGTAAGGAAAACATTAAGTTTTCTTTGAACAATAAAACTGTACAAATAGTCTGGAAAGTCAAATTTTTGGGCGTGTTTCTCGATTATGCTCTCAAGTGGAAAACTCACGTTTCTGAAATTCGTAAAAGAGTTCTTCCAAGAATAAGTGTTCTCAAAGCTATTGCTGGAATTAAATGGGGTGCTCATCCGAGTGTTCTTTCTATTGCCTACAAGAGCCTGGTGAGGTCGGTGTTGGACTGGAGGTCTCAGGTAACGTCTCCTCTTGGGGATCGAGAGGCTCTTGTCCTTGATAGACTTCAGTATGCATGTTCCCGTATAGTTTGTGGCTTCATGCGTACCACACCCACCAATGTACTCTTGGATGTTATCAATGAACATCCTCTCCGAAGTAGGCGCAAGTATCTTATGCGAAAGTACGCATGCCGCGTGGCTTCACGAACTGACCACCCTCTTAATCTCATGCTATCTCAATCCCTGTCTAACTGGGAACCAATATGTGATGATAATCGATTTGATCTGTTTGACATCTTTGTACACCTTGCTCCGTTGATCCAACAGATTGAACCGAGACCTTTGCCGGGGTTACTTGCGTTCCCGTTCAACGTACGTTACTTCAAGTGTCCAGTCGACACTGAGTCGGGTTTGATCTTCAGAAATACTACTTCTCCACAACAGGCCTTCGCCTCGTTTCTTGTCGAAAAACGTGCCACGTATGTGTTTTATACTGATGGTTCCCGCATACCCCCTTCTGGAAGTTCTCCTGCAAGGGTGGGGTACTCAATGGTGTCTGAATACCCAGATATGACACACTATTCCCGAATCAATAATCATTCTTCAGTTTTTGATGCTGAGGCCAGGGGCGTACTCTGCGCGTTGGAGTACATCAGTGACTTTGAGTTCGGTCAATCGTATGTAGCCACGGACTCGTTAAGTGTCCTTAGGTGCCTCGACTCCTTTGACCCGCAGGGCAGTCATCCTACAGATATCTATAAAATAAAGACGCTTACCTTAGAGTTGCTTGCGCGAAAAGCTCGGGTTGAGTTCCTTTGGGTTCCTGCTCATAAAAACATCCGGGGGAACAAAATGGCGGACCAGTACGCTAAAAAGGCTCTAGATATGCCGGAACCAAACTCTTCAGAAACTTGCTCCGCCAGATCGGTTTTTCCTAGCCTTCGAGCTATGGCGGTTGAAGAGTCCACTGCGTTTCTTACAACTGAGGCCCGGTATAAAGGCCTCCGATATTTTCGGCTCAAAGGGAAGGTTTTGGGAAAACCGTGGTATGAGGGTACCAAAAAACCCCTCCCTAGATCTTTGATCTCCTTGATATCCCGCATTCGGTCATTTCATACTAGCGCACGTTCGCATCTAGCTAACAAAAACATTGTCGACTCCATATATGTAATACTCCTATATTGCTAGTCGCGTATCTTCGCAATGAGAGGCACGAGGCCCGAGAAAGGGAGACGCACGAAGTCCAAATATGGGCATAGATGGTCAAGCGTCATTATGCGCAGGCGCATCTACCAAGTGAGTGCGAGCGAGACAAAGCATTGGAAAGTGAGAGAAAGAACGCGAGAAAGAGAAATGCGCAAGCGTGCTTGAATGTTCACCGCATGCGCACAAAGCAG